AAAAATTCAAAAATCAAAATGTCAGCTCCCCTTATGATGCGGCGTTTCTCAGGATTGGAAAGCAAAGAACGGCGTTAAGGCTAAATGCTCTTCCCATCCTTATAATGCAAAGAAATCGAGAAAGCAACAGTCCCAGCAGGGTTTTTACCTTCGACACTAATGGTGTGGAACGATGCGCTAGCCCTAGTCAAGAGCATAAGAAGTGTGATTGAACAAAAAACTCACCTTGGAAAGCCGCTGGAAAGGGAGCTGAACGGCTTCGAAGTGGGCGTGGTTGGAAGTCGGCCGAGGGGATTGCAGCCGACTGAGCAACCACGCCCACTTCGAAGCCGTTCAGCTCCCTTTCTAGCGGCTTCTTATCTCTTGACTAAGGCTAGGGCATCGCTCACACAATTAGTGCTGAAGGTAAAAACCCTGTAGGGAATGTCGCTTTAATTGCGGTGTAAATTCGGCCCAAATTTTGCGCAGTTTGATTGCTTCACAAATCTTACAAGACTTCTATTACAATTCGATATTTCGAATCCCGATAGTTGTTTTCCTCTCGCTGTCTCTCGAAAGCAAATTGATAACAATAAAGAAATTTTGTCGAGCAAGAATGTGAAGTGGCTAGGAAATGTAAGTTATTCTACACTGCTCCGCATAATTATACAGCCACCTATGAATTTTGCAAAAAATCTCGTCTTGAGATGTATTCGAAGAAGATTTCCTCTTCCTGATTTCCTAGCGCGAGAATGGTACCTATACGCAATACAATTACTCTGCTCCCACAGCATTACTGATTGCACTGGTTGGTGACGTGCCAGCAGCCCTTCCTGTTCGAGCTATGTGGCAGCAGCGTTCGCTTGTCGCAGCTGTGACGTCACTGGCACGCGCTCGCATCCGCGCCGCTGGTGAGCTTTACTCCCCCCCATGGTGACTTACTCGCCACAGCTCCCCTTGTCATCAGGATTTGAAAAACAGTGCTATCTACATTTTCGTTTGATCTACTGGGTGCAGTGATTGAGTGAATTTTTCCTAAATCGACAACTGACGACGGATTAAATCCTCGCAAACTGTTCATTTCCCACCAATCAAAAACGGCACTATACACTGTAAAATAAGTTTACCCAAACTAAACATCTTCCCGATGTTCTATTTAACAAGATGAAACAGTGTTTTCTTCGTATTCCGTTCGTTTAAACCATGTTGCAGCACGCAAGAGTACTTGATGCCTATGGGATTCGTCTCGGGAAAGGAGTGCTGTTACATGGGCCATCAGGATGTGGAAAGACACTTTTAGCTAAGGCAGCCGTGGCTCATTCTAAATTCAACTCGATTTTCATTAAGGTATGAATTTCTGAAAGCTTCCATGAAGTTTTACATTGAGTTACGCGCTATGAGTCACATAAAGGCTGTCGTCCTCTTGCCTATCGTCATGTCGAGACACTGCGGGTAGTTAGAGCCGTAACTAAAGATTGGTGTTGCTGCTTTTGTCTTTTCTTTGAGAACACCATGATGGAAAGGTCTCCTACTCCGTCACTACTACTGCACTGTTAGGTCTGCAGTAAGGAGTAAAAGCATAGGTATGCTACAGGTTCGGGCAAAATCATGGAAACCATACAACTGGCACGCAAAAATATTACTTGAGCATATAGCATTTGCGCATCTATACAAGTTCTTCTTCTTATTCAGCGTTTGTCCCGCTTGTTGGCGGGGTCCGCTTTTCTGATGTGCTGACGCCACTTTTCCCGATTAAATGCTTGATCGGGGTGGATGTTAACCGACTTCAAGTCTGTGTGCAACGTATCGAGCCAGCGCTGTTTCGGGCGTCCCTTAGGCCGCTTTCCCGGGCACGTCAAGGCTGAAGCCGACTCTTACGAATCGCGCGATTCGC